AAGACATAATGTATAAGGGGCATTAGACATAATATATAAGACATGTCAGCTCTGATACTACCATTGCGTCTATTGAGGAGAAAAGTTTCCAGTGAGTTACACAAACATCAATAACATTGGAGACAACTATATAAGAGATCAACACCACTCTTTACCCAAAATCTTAAGGCAATGGGTTAATGAGTCTTTCATCTTTATATATGCTCTACTTTCTTATTTCTATCCAAGGTGAGACTTAGACTCACACTTGGATACCCAACAATATATAGGACACCGAACATAAAGAGAGCTCAATAGGGCTTAAAGGCTTAGGTCAGAAAAAGTTTATGATTTAAGACTTAGTGTTTGTGGGACTTGAATTCATATTTATTTGTTCTTGAAGTTAATATTGCTTCTAGATATTTTTACTTTTAAGACTGTTATATGTTTTGGTTTTATAGATTTTTCTGTAAATATTTATGAATCGAATATATTACAAATTTAATTGAAATGAAAAATTAAGTTTCAGAAAAAGGAGATATACCAACAAAATCAAAAGTTTAAAGTAGAGATAACTTTTATTTTAAAGATTCTATTACTTACTCTTGTTTATGGATAATGTTTCTATAATCATCCAAAAGCAATTAGTGTTGTTAATGTCATTTTGTGACAACATGTTAAATTGAGTGATTTATGCTAAATTCTTATTATTATGTAAATATTATTATTGACTTTTATTAATCTTTTGTTCAACTTTCTTTGTGTGGGTAGTCTCAAGTTATTCACAAACAACTTCTGTCTATAAAAATGCATTATATATTAGAAAATATCTTGTATACACTTAAAAATTATATTCTTATTAACTAAATAGTCAGTGAGGGCTATCATTCTCATGACCAACATCTATCCGTTCACCAACCAACAAAGTGCTATTTTCAATTTTAACCAAACATGAATCAATCATTTCCCAAATATTTATTTATTTATTTATTTATTGTTGACTAACTTATTTATTTATTTATTCATTTATTCAGTGTAGTCCATTCCAGGTAATTTCATTCTTTGTTGCTAAGTCTCCTTTTTCTTCAAAATCCCCACGTTTGATTTTGAAGCACATGAGTAAAAGTTTTGATGACAAAAAGTAATGTCACTAAATTGAATAGAAATATGAAGACGGCGTCGTTGTGTTGGGTGGGAATCAAAGACCTAAAATTGCTATGTCAAGTCAATGTTCTTATCATCTCACCTATTTCCTTGTACTTTCCCTCTTATTACTTGTTGTACTACGCAACATTCCCTTTAATCTAACACTAGTGAATAATTAATTAAGAAAATTCATATATAAAATAATAAAACTGGATAATATGTAAAATAAAAATAAAAATATCGCTGTTGATTTAAAAACGTATTACTAAATATGCTCTAAATTATCTTTAAGGATAAATAATATATGTTTGTTTCTAACAATGGAAACATACTAAAAGAAAAAAGACGTGGAAAGTCTAAATGATGAGTGTTAAAACACTAAAAAAGATAAATTTTATATTAGAGATTTTCTTCTCTTCTCGTGTTATATACTCAAGATAATCAATCATAACATAATACTAACATATTCGATTATGTGTAGAATATTTTATTATCGTTTAATTTAATACCAAAACAAAGCTTTTATAATAACTATATTGTTAATATATTATGACATTATATATTAAATATTTATAAACTTTTTCCAAGGCAAAAATGTAATAAAATAAATAATTACGCAAAAAAATATTGAAATAATAAATAAAATAAATGAATTTAAATTTTATATTTATAGAATAATTTATTTTTGATGCATTATTATTTTGAAATATATATATTTTTTTTAATTTTTAAGATTTGATAATAATTTTTTATTTTAAATTTATTTTAATTCAAATTTATATTTTAAAAAATATTTTTAAAATTATATTTTATATATATAAAAAAAATTATTGCATTGCTTCAATTATTTCTATTATAAAATTTTCACACCCTCATCTCAATTCCAAAAAGAAATCTCACCTTTGACTCTCCTTTTCTTACATTTTTTATTTTCTCTTTAATTCAAATTAACTCACGTATGGTTAGCTCGTAAGTAGATTGACCTAGGCCTTTTTTCTTTTTCAAAAACATAACATTCTAACTTTAAGTCCATTGACATAATAAATGTATCCTGGTCCATTTAAAATTAATATTCCGTCACATTTTTTTAAAGAAAAATGTGTCTAAAGTATGTAGGCCTTTGTAAATTAATCTCTTATATTCTTATTATGAAACATATTTTGGATAAATTTTTGGCTTTTTTTAATAACATACTTTATAATTTATATAAATTATATTTTTTTCCATATTTATCTCTATTAAGAATTATGAAATTTGTATTTTACCTTAATGAATAATAAGATTTTTTTTTAAAAGATTAATAATAAGTAATTTTTAAAAAAAAAAATCAACTAAATTATTTTTAGTGGCATGCAAATTATATTTTAAATTGTTATAGCAAGGACCATATGAAATATTCGTTTTCGAATCCATATGATAATATTAACATAAAGAAATAAATCAACAAAAACAATTAATAATTCTTTTTATTTTCTTATTAAACATTTTGTTCTCACCAAAGAAAAATGCGAGAGTAATGGTCTCCACTACATAGCAGTATCTCTTCACAGTCAAGGCGTATTCAACACTGCTACTCACATTAATTCCTCCAATCACAACAAACATAATTGAAAACATAATTGAATCATTTCAAAATTGATTGACTTAGAATGTCATAAAATATTGATTTGTATTATAGACTTTTACAACTCTGTTCCTCTTTAATGATGTTTTTTTGTAAGAGGTTGGAAGTGGAAACTAATTAGAAATAAAATTAATTTATAATATATATAAATCAATATAAATTTCATTTTTGTTGGTTTTTTTAGAGTTAAATTAGATTTAAAGTTTATTTTTCAAAATAATATCAAACATGAAAGGAATATATTATAAGTTTCACATCTATTAAAAATATGATTAATTTAAAATGTATAAACTAATACAAACTTTACATTAAAATCTATTTTTTTAAGATAAGAAAAGAAATAAATCAATAAAAGGAAGAGGAAAAAAAATGTATGTATAAAGCAAATGCAATTGTCTCTACATATCAGATAAGAACTTAGTAAGATGTTCTGATACACAGTTATTATAATACAGGCAATCGTAAAATGCAAATACATCACAAAACAACATTTAATATGCTTTATCTAGTTCATTTTAAATCATTTTAATTAATTACACTCAAATCTAAGTATTAAATGGATACAAGATAAGAGTTATTTTTTATATTTGTATTTAGGCATGTGTCTCAAAGATACAATAACTCTCCATTGGATGCTTACCACTTAATTATTTAATTTATATAAATTAAAGATATATTCTTTTAATGATGAATGTTTGTATTTAATATTACAAATCATATCATTTCATAAAGTTACATTATATATATATATATATATATATATATATAAAATGTAGCTTAGTTGTTATATGCTATTTGATTTATATTTTCCAAATATTTTCCAAAATCCTCAACATAAGCTTCATATATTATAAATAAAAAATTATGATTTTTAATTAAGAACTCTAGTTTTGAACCGAAACTGCATTTCCTCATCATTATTGTAATGAAAATATTGAAAAAAAAATGGTAGATAACATTTGAATATTGTCTATCTGTTGGAAGTCCCATCGACTAGAGATAAGACCAAAATATAATATATAAGTGAGGTGTAAATCTCACTTACAAGCCGGTTTTATGAGATTGAGTTAGGCTTAAATCCACTTTTTAATACTATCTTATCGAAATAATTTGGATTGTGGGAGATTATATTTTTACATTGAGAAATAACAGTACCTAGATCTAAAGAATCAGGTTATGCTAATATAAGCACCAAAACAATATTTTAAAACAAAAATTAGAAAAAACAAAATGCATTAATTCATGGTTTAATTAACTTTTAAAAATCTTACAAGGTATTCTCAATTGAATTTTTAATAATTTTTGTTTTGTTTTATTAAATGCTCAAAATATTTTTTGTCTTCACTAATGCTCTATCATTTGAATTTTATTGTCCACGAGACGAGACGATGTGGTTGTTACTTTATTTATTTATTTATTTTTATTTCTAATTCATCAATCAATTAATATTTGTTATTTTTAGTTTCTTCTAACTCGTTTTTGGAAACTGAAATGAAGGAGTTTGAAAAGACTAAGAAACGAGAAAATGAATTATTAAGTTAGAAACGAAAAGAGAAAAATAATAATTTCATGATTTATTTGAAAAAATAACAAAATACTCTATAAAATTAAATATTTAAATTTATAAAGTAGTGAAAATTTAATTAAGTCTTTAATTGATTGTATTGAAAGCATTTAAACCTAAAAGCATCCGATATCATGAACTAAGCATAATTTGGTTGATACAAATGTAGTTTCTTTTCTGTTAATTAATCTAAGATCATCAGTTTTGTTGTTTTCAGTGAAAGGATCTTTCTCCAGCCGCCACAAGCCCACAACTTTCTATACATGCTGTCGTGGTTAATTAACCTAACCAGCCAATTACGTTGGATTTAATGATGAGACAATGAAACCTCACGACCAAAGTGAAAATTAATTAATTAATTAATCAATAATTAGGGTAAAATCCATTTATATTATAATTATTATTATTATTTGGATGAATTAAAGAGATAAGAGCTGAATACTAAATAAAAGAATTAAACAACATAGTGGCCTTTAGACAGTGACGTCATGGAATGACATGAGATTGGTGTACATGGATGATAGAGGAAGCTTCATTGCATCATCTAGGAAAGAGTACAGAAAGGTGGTTCCTGGAAAACCATAACATGGAAATGGAAAACTATGATTATCATCCTTCTAGATATCATTTTTTAATCATATAAAAACCATTCTCTACTTTAACTCTCACTCTTATAAAATGCTCATTCCCTGCATTCAACTACTACTACTACTACTACACATTCATCTATAGCAATGGATTTCTTCTACTTTGGAAACCCAAACCCTTCTCATACTCATCTCCATAACATGTCTCCATCATCCCCTGAGATCGCACTCTCTGATTTCCTCCTTCTCGATGATTTTCTTCATCATCATCACGGAGACTCTCTATCATCTCAAAGCACGGAGTCGTCGGAAAAACCAACCTGTGACACCACTCACGGATTCACCACCGGTGCAACCTCTAAGAACAGCAACATCAACATGCAAGTGTCTTTTTCTCTCTCTTTCCTTCTCATACTTTCAAGTAAACAGAAATTATACTTTTTACATAACATGACAGTTTTAGTGGTGAATGATTTTATGCAGAAAGTGCAAGAACGCGAATGGTGGAAGCAAAGCAAGGTTGGGTCCGAGAGTGGCATTCAGAACAAAATCAGAGCTTGAGATCATGGATGATGGATACAAGTGGAGGAAGTATGGTAAGAAGTCCGTGAAGAGCAGTCCAAATTTAAGGTAAAAACCTACGAAGGTGTTGATTAACAGAGACAAAAAACCTAGTACAAGATAACAAAATTAAGATAAAATGAACATTAATTTGACCTAGGCTATGAAACAGTATAGTGCCTGATAACGAAGCTAAAGAATTGCACATGGTAGAGCTAAAAATATTATACTAAGACTTGACATTGTGAGGTTTTTGTGCTAAGTGGGTGATTTGATTAATGATGGTAGGAACTATTACAAATGTTCAAGTGGAGGATGCCCAGTGAAGAAAAGGGTGGAAAGGGACAGAGAGGATTCCAGCTATGTGATAACAACGTATGAAGGTGTACACAATCATGAGAGCCCTTTTACCACATACTACAGCCCTATCTCTTTTCTACATTCTGATCATTCTACATCTTCCAAATGACACCGACTAAGAAGAGGTTTTCAAGATCCCTTCATGCAGGGGAAGGAGCTGTGTATCATACCAAGGTTTAATCAATCATAGTTTTTTTCATTATGTAATAGATTGAAGAGAGTCTGTACTCAGATCATGGAACCTTTTTATCAATTCTATAACTTTTTTTGCACTTCGTTTCATAGGACTTTCATTTCTCACTTAATTTCAAAACCAACATATGTAACTTCGTTCAAAACCAACATATATCTTGTATTAGGATTAGTATCTCTTCAACTCTGTTTCATAACAAAGTTTTTTCTTATTTAAAAAAATGTTGGTTTAATGTTGATAATAGTACGAAGGAGTCAACAACAAATTTAAAATATTCAACTGGTTAAAAGTATTTTCATTCATTTAGTTTTATGTTGGTTTAATAGGTGATAATAGTACGAAGGAGTCAACAACAAATTTAAAATATTTTAGATTTTTAATTTATTTTTATATAATTTGGATTTAATTTTGTGTATTATCCTTTACATTTGTTTTCAATAAATCTTAATAGTTAGAATCTCTTTAGACATTAGTTTCTATTAGGTTTTGTAAATGACTTATTGAATAGGCTTACTTAGTAAGTAGGCCTTAAGATTTAAGTACAAAGTATCAATAACTTTTTGTAAATTCGTGTATAAATTGGGATAAAGAATAACTAATACTTAATAAAATGTATGAAAAATGATCCTCTCATAAGAGTTTATTAGATTAGATGAAGTCTATAAATATAACACTCAAAGTTCATAATATAGGGAAAAATAAATTTCATAACATATTAACTTTAAATAAGGAAAGAAGAAAGTACTGGGAAAAGTATGAATCAAAGTTCATAGTTTATTTTGTTACGCCTAATAAATTAAGAATTGTTTAAGATATAGTTGACAAGTGCATATGATGGGATGGTTCACAAGTGCATAGCCATTCAAGTTAATGGTGCTGGCATTTTGTAATTTCATGTTGGTTGGCTTGACTTTGACACAACATAAGAGAAACTTCTTGTTGGTTACAAATTACAATCTTATATTTTTCAAACTATACTTACATTTTTTATTATTTTTATTACTATAATAGTTTTACTATGTAATCAAAATTGTGACGATGCAATGAGTTTAAAGAAAGAACAAGTTTATGTAAAATTAAAAAAATCCAATTTTTTTGTCATTTACTCTTGCTACTATTATTAATATAAATGGATTTATTAGTTTTTAGTATAATACTCATCGTTGATTAACACATTACATTGATCACTGTTTAATAAAAGATATATATGTTTTACATAAATTTTCTAATTTTTTGTTTTAATGATACTTTAGACCATTGATACAACATTTCGATGGGTGAAACGAGAGAACAAAAATCAATATATTATTGTTCTAATTAGGTTGGGTTATTTATATTTTTCAAAGAAATTAGTTTTTAAATGTATATTATCTTCCACCGCTTCATTGCATTTGTGTATGGTTTTAGTATTTTTATTATTCAATGATTTTTTGTTATCATTAAGTAAGAGTCAAAATGAATTGATTAAAACCAAGTTTTACAATATTTTAGATTTTTTTTTCATCTTTCCTATTTAGTCAATAAACTATGCCTATTTTTTTTTAATGTAACTTGGTGTTTTTAAAAGTGTTTCATAATATAATGAAATTATTTTTCATTTTTCATTTCAATAAAGCCTGTGGAAACATATAGCGAAATATGTTTTTATATGTATTTGGGTAATATTTGACAAGTACTTTAACAACATTTTGTTAAATAATGATGAAAACATGTTCATTGCACCATTAGGAAGTATATTTGATGAGATGCATAATTAAAATTTATTTTAATTCTGTTGTGAGAGGAGTGAAACACACTAGATTTTTTGTTAAAATATAATTTTTTAAAAAGTTAAATGAGTTTAATAGTGATTTGGGGAGTGCCAATGGCAATGGTCGAAGAGGCCTTCCCTGTATATGTTTTGGGCTTACCTTGGCCTTATTACCTAATGCGTTTAGTGGGAAAAGGCTGATGGGGTGGAAAAAGAGGACTTCGTTTTTCTTTTTTCATTTATCACATGTTGGAGGACATGAATCAATAATTTTATTTATTACTACCAACATTTTATTAATACTGAATAACATAAGGATGTCCTATTGAAGTAATCTTTTGCAGTTAACTTTTCATTTTCTAATTTTAAGTATTAATTATTTTTACAATGTAATTTATTATTAATAATAAGATAATACTTATGATTAAATTAGTTTAGATTCTAATAATTACTTACTTTAAAAAAAATATTTAGGTAAAACAAGAAGAATAATAATTTTTTCGTCTATAACTATTAATAAAGATAATTCATTTTTATAACTGTATGTAACAATTATTTGAATCTACAAAATTCATTACCAATATATTGTAATATTTTATTTTAATAAGTGTTTAACTACAAAAAAATCATCAAACATATAATATGAAGAATAGTTACCTCAAGAAAAAATATAAGATATTATTACAATTATCCAAAAACATGACTATAACACTAAAATATATGTACAAGATCTTATGTTACTAAGAGTTCTATTACACTGGAAACTAAAGTGTAAAACTAGAGTTTTACAAAAAGTTGATCTATATATCTATACATATATACATAAACCAAAATTCCTACTCTATGTTCCTTGCAACATCACCATCCTATACTTGCTTTACCATCATCTTCTCACATCATTGAAGTGATCATGACAAATAAGAAAGCAAATAAATATACCGCAAATACAAAAGAGTAAGCTAATTTACCAAAGAAACATAACTGCATTATGAATATTAACACTTAAACACAAGTATATCAAACAATCATAAAACATACAATCATCAACTCTAGACTTGATCATCCAAATACATGTATGAATGTCAAACTCTAGCATTTTATGCACTTGTGGTGGCTTCTAATGTTCTGTGGAGTCATTGCTAATGAGTTTTATCTTTCTACACACAATGTTCATCCATTAATGACTTAGGCTTAGGTAAAGCACCTAGACTAGGACTTCATGCTTCTCTCACCACATATCCTACCCTTCTCTACTTGAAATTAGATGGTTATTAGAGTATTAAGATAACCCCAATACAAAATCCTTACATCAATGCATACACAACTTGAAACCACACAAGAAACTTCTCATTGAAATTTCTTTCACAATATACTTAGTACTTTCATATAGTCATGATACAAATCATAAGGAGTCATACATTTCACATTAAGCATACATGGCATTCATAGAAAACCCCTTCAAATAAGCAAAGATAAAAAAAATCACATAACAAACACACTAGCGCTCAGATTAAGGCTCAACACAAAAGCTTTTGCAAGAGAGAGCACTCAGTGCCAAAGCTCTCACTTAGCGATCCCTACTCGTTGATCAACGAAAAGAGTGAAAATAGCCTCAGATGTGTAGTGGTCACTAATGCTCAACGATATCATGTCATCGCTTAGTGCCAAATTATTCGCATTTTGGTCGCTCAATGGGGGAAACTGGTGTTGAACGCTATACCAAAAAACTGCAACAACACAACTTTTATATGATGAACTAAAAGCCTATTCAAATGACCAAATTGATATTCCTAACTTAATGATTGGTCCAAAAATAAGTTTTAATGTTCGATCGAATATCAATTTGCTCAAATTACCATAGACTTAGTTTATCAACTCAACACCAAACCAATCAATTCAACAACACACAATCATATTGAACAAACAAACTTTAGCACACAATTTTAACCCATTTCCAAACAAAAATTTCATCAATTTCATAAAACAAAAAACCAGTTACACTCAACAAGTTATCCAAACAGAATTTCCATACCAATTACACATTTAGATCAAACTCAACATGCATCACATACTATAAATGTATCAATGACTTAAAAATGTGTTGGTTAGCTTATCTTACCTGTTAGAAGCTCAAACTACTCTAAGGAACCTAGAACAACTCCCTTAGCTTAAGGAATTCTATCTGCTTCTACAAACAAGAAAAACATTATCAGAACACACTGTTAGTACCACTAATCAACAAAGAGTACTATACAGAACTCAAATGACACATGCAAGAGGTCACAACTCACATGTATGGAAATGCACACAAACTAAAGAAAAGAGCATAAACTAAATTACTCTTTTGCAATAACTTATCCGACAATCTTGAAGACCTCACCCTAGTGATCACTCAAACATCCTTTTATCTTCAAATTGATGAACTATGAATCAGAAGATTTAGAGAGAGGGTAGAAAGATTTTATAAAGAAAGTATTATTTTGGCTTAAATGCTTACTTCATTCTCATGTTAAGAGGTGAATTTCTGTTTAGTTTCCAATTTTAAAATTGAATCTATTGAGTCTCAAAGTTGTAAAAATTGTATAAATAAAGTCCCCTCCGTTAAATTAGCATAAACGGAGTTAAGTTCGTTTTGACGTAGCTATAAAATTTGACTTTTTTTCTTCTCTCTCATTTGTTCTTTCTACAACATTCAACTTTTTTTCTCTTTCTATATTAATGATTTTCATAATTTTCATAAACGAACATTTTTTTCTTTTTCTCTTTTTGCAGTTTGGTGGTGACGAGGGAGAAGTGGTCATGGGCGATGGTGATGAGGATGTAGAAGTGGAGGAGGAGGAATAGGGAGAGGATGGGAATAGAGAGAGGTGTGTTGTAGGAAGTGGACCACCACAAGCCATCACCGCAACCTAGCACCACCACTGATCATCTTCATCGCCTTCAAATCCTATTTCGCCTCACCACCATCAACACAAACCTAAAATCAGAAAAGCCCCAATCGCGAAGCCACTACGAAGCCTTCACACTCATCTTCTTCACCAAAAACCTCCATAGCTTCGCGTAACCAGGACGCCACCAACCCACCCCCTTCTCCATCATTCTCCAAAACAACCTCCATTGCGAAACCTTCACCAACCTAAATCGCGTCGTTGTTCAATCCAAACGCACCACCCCCAGTCTTCTGCGCGAACCAGATGCATCATCAAAATCGTGCACCTCACACCTGCAAGAAGAGAAACCAAACAATCTAGATCCAAAATCACACAACCATCAAAAACGCGAATCATCTCCACAGCAAAGCAAACAAGTCATGCCTTCATGACAGCCGAGGAGAAACCCTTTCTCCCTTTTAACTTTGATCCAGGGATTGAGGGACTTTG